GGGGAGGCAGTTATTGCGTGGAGGGAGTGTCCCCCCCCCTACAGGAAGCCGTGACCATGTGTCACGGGAGGGAAAATGGCCGCGGATCCTGTTCGTCACCCGATCCGGCGTTCGCGAACGGAGGCAAAATTTTGCGAACGGAGCTGTTCGTGACCAAAATTGGTCATGAACAGAAGCGTTCGTGAACTGAGGTACCACTGTATTACCCACTAAATATTATTCACAAAGGTAAAAAAAAAAAATCATTCAGCAAATTAAAAGTGACAATAATTTTATAATAAGAACATTCTTAAAATTATTTTGTTAAAATGCAGTAATTAGTTAATTCTGACTTCTTTTATTGGCAGAATGGATCCTAGAGCTTTTCATTCTACTGGTTCCATTTTATTCCACAAGTACTAGTGGTAAACTATTTTTAATAATAAGGAAGTATTGTTCCTGCTTTGTTTACTTTAGGATTTTAATTATTTTTAATTTCCAGCAAATTCTGGTTGCTGATATTTTTAAAAAGATCTTTTTCAGTGGGAGGGGAAATACTCAGTAAGTCTGAGATTGGATCAATGGGCTTGATCCCATGGTATCATGGGAAATGGAGGGCTTGAATTTAATAGATATTTGTTTTTCACCCTTTTTTAAATTGTTTATTTCTGTGACCCACTTTTTGGCCTATAGAGCACTTGTGGTGGCTAATTATTTTAAACAAATAAAAGAATAGGTTCAGAGATTAATGTAAATGTAGATAAAATGTAAATTAAAATAATTACTCTCATGCTTAGTTTAAAATAAAAACATATAGTGGAATTCAGTTACTCTTTTCACCTTCCCTCAAAGTTAAACATTTCACTGGATCCAAAAGATTTTTCATAAGTAGTAGACTGTCTATAAATGAAAATGTTATTTTCATAACAAAGTTCCCAGGATCCCATCAGTTAAAAACTGGTATTTCTTTGATTTATATGTATAATGCAATTTACTGTTTGGAATACCAGACAATTTGAGCACACATCTTTACAGAAATTGTAAATTGTAAATGTATTATCTAGCTTTTCTGTTACATTTTCCAAATATTTCCTCATCTAATTTGCCTTTACTTTTTCTTTGCCATTTCTTCATCAAAGGTTTGGTTTTCAGTTGCGATTTTATATGCTTGGGCACTGTTCAAATGCAGCATAATATGTGATTGCTTTGTGCTTAACATCAGTACTCTTTGCATGTGAAGTCCTGTTTTAACTCTCAGTTCTGAGCAGCTCTTTAACACAGCTAATTAACAACAGGAGGTGTGACATTACCGTCTCTTTTAATGTATAGAAGGCCTTTTCTTAGTTGCTGAGACTGCTTACTGTTAAAATAAGCTTTTAGACAATTCAAGATCTGTCTTTCTGCACCGGCCTGCTGCCAGGGTTTGCCTGGCATTGGCTTTCTGCCAGGAGCTGTGTAAATAGTTTTCCGCATTTTGTACCAACACCAGGAAAAGAAGAAAACAAGGTAAATAAAAACCAGATCAGGGTACCAACAGAGCATTGAACTGGTTAGGTTAGGGATGCACACCTGCATCCTTTCAGGTGCATATAGTCCTCCAGGATCTTTGATGCAGCAAAGGTGCCCACAAATCTCCTTCCAATTTGCTCGTCTCTGCCTCACTCGCTGATACTGCAGCCATTGCTGCCATTACCAATTTCTTGATAGGACCTACTTCAGTGAGGTCCAGCAAGACATAGACTCCTCTCTCTGATAGAGAGTGCTTCTGAGCAGGTTCTCTCGTTACAGACTTTTGCAAGAAACAAAATGCTTGTTCAGGTACTTGTCCGAATGCAGGGAGAGCTCAGTGGAGGAAAACACACACACTTGTGTTTGCATCCTACTGAGTGTGTGCACTCAGTTGGATGCAGACACACTCACAGCTTGTTTCAAACCTCCATACATTTCAGGTATGCCTGAAATGGAGCTTCTACTCAAATTCACTAAGATAGTTCAAGAAATGGGCATCCTTCTGCAAAAAAACCTTGAGAGCCATAGTTTTGATAGGCAGCACTGCATTCCAAAAAGATGGGGGAGCCAGCTAAATATTTAATCTGGTATTGTTAATATGATTATCTGAGCATGCTTACAAACTTAAATTCTTGCCCCAATCCCTTTTGAAAATCAACTGCTTTTCATTCCATAGAAACACGCATAGAAATGATTTCTTCTCCATCCACAGTTAAAAGCAATTCATTTCCAGAGTATACATCAACATGTGCCTGCATCCCAATTCCAAACCCATCTTTCATATCAAATGATATCTTTTTCCAATCCAGCAGAAAAACTTACTGACGCTTATAGTTCTATTTTCTGCACATTTATTGGGATTTAAGTCCTGGGCACTGAAGGGTAGAACCAAGGAGCGTTAGTAACATTCTTCCTCCCATCCCGGCTACTTCCCTTCTCAACATGCTGTAACAGGCACTCATGGAAATGAAATTGAGAAGAAGGAAAGTGCATCCCAAGGTGCTGATGGCAGCAGACATTTCTGGGAAAGCTTTCATTGTTAGAAATTCAGGCTGATAAAGGTTGGATTACGGCAGTGCCCTCTACTTGGGGATGTCTTGGAAGCTTCCATTGGGACAGAATGTGGAAATCTGCTTGAAGATGGGTGAGAGCCACTTCAGTAATATGACATCTAGATTGTGGGTGCTGCATTGGCCAGTTTGTATTCAACTATAATTCAGAGCGCATTTATTACTTAGAAAGCTCTATGGCTTGGGTCCTTGTTGCATATGGAACTGTATTCTTCAAATGCAGTCTGCCTGTTTTGTGTGATTGGCCTGCAAGTGGATGCTGCAGTTTCCTTTCAGAGAGTAGCTTGAAAGCAGACCTTTTTGGTGTTGGCCCTGCCTCTCTGGAATTACCTAGCTCTAAGGTTTAGGTGGACCTGCTGTCATGGCATTCTGAAAGGGAGTGGTGCATCTGGAACTTAAAAGGTTTTTTTTAAGCCCCCCAACTGTTGTTAAATATATTGGTTTTATAATGTATTATGATTGTGTGTGACCTATCCAGGGTCTGTTGAAATAGGAGTGAGATATAAATAATGCAATAAATGATAAGCTGGATTCATCTCTGAACCTAGTTAAATTATGAACAAGTTCCACTTTCCAAGGTAGGATAAATAAGTTCCATGTAATTATAGCATTTTATGTGCTGCTTTAAATAAGGGGGCAGGTCTAGAGATATTATGCAGTTTGAGATGTATTATTTTGTTTATACTTGAATATGAAACCAGTGTGACTTGCCCTCATGCCTCTGAAAGGAATGATCTGAATGCACGAAATGCAGTAAGGCTACCTAAGAAAGTCACACTTTAGACACTTTTGAACAGAACTTCTGCTGAAATATTAACTATCCATGTATTTTATTTCAGAAGGCAGAAGACAATACGGAAGGAATAGGATCTGGACTTGGTCCTGATGGAGAAGTAAGAACTCTAGTTTCTTTTGAGGAAGCACTTCAATGTATTAGCTTCAGTTAATGATGAACTAATGATGTCACAATTTGTATTTCAATATGTAAAATAGATCTGGGGGCAGTGGGACAACAAGGTTAGCAGAAAAGGGCTGTTTTCCTCAGCATGAATTACTCATAAATATTTTAGAAGGCTATAATCCCATTTGTAAATAATGTTGCAAATAATAAAACCTCTATGTGACATCTTTTGTCAATACCAGTAAAATAAATTATACAAAATAAGATCCTCAATTTTAAAGGCTCTTCGACAAAAGAACTTTAATCCATATGGTTCTCCCTTGGCCTTGTAATCACCTTCTCATCTAACACCTTCTGTATTGGCTTTGCAGAGGGAAGTGAGAATTGAGAGAATTAACTTTCCTTTAATTTCTCATCAGCAGAAGCATCTTGTGTGTGTAGTTCTGCTTACTGTGTCTAGGCTTATATTTTTACACTGTATTTAGTTTAAAATTGTATGTGTTTCTTGATCATGTTATTTTTTTTCCTCATCCTATTAAAGGAGACCTGTAAACCCAACATTAGAACATAGAACAAAGATAGATGTAAATTAACACTAGCTTGATTGCATAGATACTGCCTTCCATTGATTGCAAATGATAGATTGAAGTGTGAGGTTACCATTTCATGTACATGCAACATAAATAAGGAAAACTTAATAAAAGCCTTAGTGATCTTGATTTCTTAAAATATAATTAGGAGGTAGCCATTGTATAAGCTAGGAAATAATATATTTCATATTAACATCCACACAGTTGGCATTGTTTAAAAATTACATTTTGGAATCAGCCACACAATATTTTGGTTTTATAACATAAACAAATATAGTTTAGCTTTTCCCTTCATAAGTAAATTGGATTATTACAGTCTATCTAATCAAGCATATTTACATTAGTAGATTTACAGTTTGCTGTCTTTTGTCATATGCAATAAGATGTCTAGTAAATTGGTCTAATGCAAAACACTTTGTCCAACACATCTAATTGAAGTTTTTAATGAGTGCACTTGTACTTAATGAGCTATCTCACTTAATGAGCATACTAGAATGCACTATAATAACCAGAATGTTTCTATGTTGGTGTCTTATGCTAGAAATATGACACACATCATTATTTGAAATTTTGCTCCAAGAGTATTTAAAATGACTGAGATGTTTTTATAAGCCATTGAGATAATCCTGTGTACATTTATCTGAAAGTAATCCCACTGCAGTCAATTAAGCTTATTCCACAATACAATTCTTTGCATGTTTTCTCAGAAAGAAAGTCTCATTGAAATCAGTGGGACTGAAAGGTCAGTACATAAGCTCATAGCACTGAGTTGATTAAGTGCCATCAAGTTAGGGTTGACTCTTAGCGACCACATAAACTTTCTCCAAGATGATCTGTTCTCAACCTGCCCTTTTAGATCTCTCAATGTTGCATTCATAATGCTGCTGTAATTCAGTCCATCTACCTTGCTGCTGATCATCTTCTTTTTCCTTCCACTTTTCCTAGCATTACAGACTTCTTAAGGAAGCTTAGTCTTTGCATAATATTTCTGAAATATGACAGTTCGAGCCTAGTCATTTTTGCTTCAAGCAAGAACTTTAGATTGATTTGTTCTATGATCCATTTGTTTGTTTTCCTAATATTCTCAAGAGTCTTCTCCAACACCAACATTCAAAAGTGTCAATACTCTTTCTGTCTTACTTTTTCAAAATCCTACTTTCCCATCCACAGATTGTTAACAGGGAAAGCCCTACCAAGTGCTAGTCTGTGGTGTATTTCTTTAGTATTAATTCTGTTACTGTTGATAGTTGATCCTAAAAAGCAGAAGCAGTCCATTTGGTCACTGTCTTGTCAGTTCTCAGGATGGTTGCTGTACGGTTATCATTTTCCTGTGCTCCTTGATTTTCATTACTAGAGCTTGTAGATCATTTGCATTTTCAGGTATCAGAGTAGTGTCATCAGCGTAAGGCAGGTTTTTGATGTTTCTTCCTCCAGTCTTAAAACTATGCTCATTTTCTTCCAATACAATTTCCCTCATTATATATTCAGCATATAGGTTGAATAAGAAAAGGAGCTGTGTACCTTCTCACTGCCTTGCCAACCTGGAGCCAGCCTGTTTCACCATATTCTGTCTGGATTATGCGTCCCTGTCCTCTCTGTAGATTTCACATGAAGACAATAAGATATTCTGGTCAAGCTCATGTCATGGAAACTGGCTGGCTTTGTTCTTCTGCTTTAGCTTGACTTGGAACTTGCACATGAGCAGTTCATGATCTGTTCCACAATCTTGGACTACATCTTTGCTGTTATAACTGAGCTCTTCTACTTCCTTGTACCAATAATATTGTACCAATAATATAGTCAATTTGATTTCTGTGTGCTCCATCTGGTGATATCCATGTATATAATGTTGTTTTGGTTGTTTGAAGAGTTGTTAATAATGTAGAAATCATTAGATTGGCAAAAACTGATAATTCATTCTTCTGCTTCATTTCTATTCGCTAGGCTGAACAGTCTGACTATGTTTTCCTCCTTACTATTTCCAACTTTGGCATTCCGGTCTCCAACCACAAACAGCACATCTTGCTTGCATATTCTATCGATTTCAGATTGAATTTGACAATAAAACACATAATTTTTTTTGTCTGCATCAGTGTTTGTGGCTTAAACCTGAATAACTGTCATATTAAAGGGTTGTCTGTGAAATCCTATTGATGTTACTTGGTCATTGACTGTATTGTACCCAAGCACTATCTTTGTTATGTTCTTCCTGACTATGAAAGCAGCAATGCTCCTTCTTGTTTTCATGTCCTGAGTAGTAAACAGTATGATCTTCTGACTTAAAGTGCCAATTCCAGTCCATTTATTTATTAATCATATTTATATAGCTGCCCATCTCTCACAAATCAGATGCCCAAGATGTCAATGTGTAATTCATTCATTTCATTATTCACTGTGTTGAGCTTTGGCTTTTCTTTTCCTTCATGGTAATAGCAGCAACTAGACTTTGGAAAGGCTTTAATTTAGCCACATCATAAACATCTTTAGTACTCCAAAAGGCCCCGAGTGCCATTCAACCTCATCTGCCACTATATCAAAACCATTGTCTTCCTCCAAGCAGTCATTGATTTCTTGTCATTGTCGCTAAAGTGATCATCTATTTCCAGCATTTTCCTATAACACTGCTGCCTGATATAGATGCCTGCTTGCTTTATCTGGGCAGCTGGGATGACTTCACACTACTGGGAGTATAACTCTTGTTACACACTCCTAGTGTGCTTTGCTCATCCCTCCCAAGAACACTCCCTGCCACAATGAGGCGGCATAACAGGTCTTAGGGTCATAACCTTTAAACCTATCCTATTTAAACCTATCTCCTTTATTATTAAGTATAATTATCAAAGACATTTAAATTATGAAGGGATTTTCACCGAAATAAAACTGTTCATTCTTAAATTATCTGTGTTAGTGTGTGACCTGGCATACTTTCACCCTCATCAAGCTACATATCTTATGAAGATTTAGGGTTGCACATCTGTATCTGCAGCCAGGTTGCATCACATGGTGACATAAATTATATGGGGTTTGATTTGAAAGGAAATAAGTCCCAAGTCTTTTTGAGTAGGCACATCTCTGTCCTCTTAAATCCTTTCTAGTTATTTGGCTCTCAGCATGGGGCTTTGAATAAATAAATGGGATGATATTAAGAACTTTGGAATTACTAGAACCTGTTTTCACTGTTCTTCTCATAGAATCATGTTCTCTATTCAGATTCAAACGTGTGCTTTCCCTTAATATTTAGCCCATAGATGAGAGCAGTCAGATGAGTGATCTCCCAGTCAAGGTAACTCATACAGAAACAGGCAAAGTTCTTCTTGGACCAGAGGCTCCTAAAGCAAGTCAGTTGGATGCTTGGTTAGAAATGAACCCTGGGTGAGTAATCACTTTACCTTATAACCCACAACCTGATACTTTTGTATTGCATTTATACATCCTAAATATTGGCAGATTTTTATTTTAGTCTACAAATGTGTAGATTGTTCTAAACCCCATCCATATTAGTGTTGTAGGTTTTTTATGTATTCTGTTTGGTCAATGTTTGCTCAAAAATTTGGAGCTGTTATTCTCTACAACATATTTTAATATACAGAGTTTTACTACTATATGTTTATTAAAATGTAGTTACTTCTAAATACACAAACTTCTATGGAACTTATTGAGGGGTGCATTTTTCTGAGAAATTCAACTCTGTGCACATTCTTGAGCAGAACATAATGGATATAAGTAAACTCTGCCCATGGTGACTGTTTGCTTGGAGCAATAATTTTAGCACTTTGAGTCGATTTATTTCCTCTGAAATCCCATGGATTATTTCTCCCATACATAATTAATTTCTTTGATATCTTTAATTTTATTTCCATACTTTTTTGAAACACTTTTTTTGCTGGTTTTTATGAAAGTATTTTAAAAGGATTGCTATTTTGGAGGAGTTCCCTTATACTCTTTCACCTGCTTCTTCCCCACCAGCTATGAAGTTGCACCCAGATCAGACAGTGAAGATGAAAGCGGCTCAGAGTATGAAGAAGATGTAAGTGAACACCCTCTCTTGATGCATATCTTTATCTAGAAGAATATTTTTAGAGACCAGAGAGTAAGAATAAGCATACAAAAGGTAACTCTTGACTATTGTAGTTACAGTTACAATTCTATAGTACTGCAAGATAAATACCTGAATAGACCACCACAGTGTATTCTGTGTGAAGCTACCTTTGCAAACTACTAAAAAACTACAATTGGTACAAAACTCAGCTGCCCAGATGCTGGTGGCTGAGAGCCCCTTCAGCCATGTTTCATCAATAGGGTGAGCTCTATTGGTTGCCAGTGGGTTTCAGGGTACAACTCAGAGCGCTGACCTTTAAAGCCCTACGTTGGCGTGACTCCTAGGTACCTTCGGGACAACCTTTTCTGGGTAGAACCATTCTATTGGGTGTATCCCGGCAGCTATGTTTTGTATCAGTTTTAGTTTCTGAATAATCCTCAAAGGTAGCCTCAGGCAGAGCACATTGTAGTAGTTTATCAGTTATCTATCCCCACATCAGAGAGGTATGGCCAGGGAGGCCCAAGGGTAGTATTCATTAGTTATGAACCGCACCTTATGTAATCTCCCCACCAAGGCTAAACCAGCACAAATGTAATCATTCTGCAGAGCAGTAAAGACTCAGCTGTTCCATAGGGCATTTAGTAGATAAAGTTACCCAAATTGATAGTGTTCATAGCTAGTATATTTAGGCATGATATCGTTTGGTGCTAAATTTTTTGGTTCTATGAATGACCACAGATTTATTTATTTATTATTGTACATGATGTATTATTTTAATTTACTGTTTTAAATTACCATGAAGTTGTATGATTTGGCCACATAGAAATTCCAATAAATAAAGAAACAAGGACCCTAATTAAAATAGAATCCAGCATGTATCATTCCACCCTCCCAGTTTCTTTGTACCATAACAATAACAAGCCATAATAATACTAATTTGTGTGACTTTTCTTGTCTAAATAAAATGTTTCAATTGGGTGGTAAATTACAATAATATAACCTAATTAACTAACTGGAAAAATAACTTAGTTGTTATAAATCTTTAAGCAATGAAGGATTACAGATTTCTTTTTGATTACTGATGGTTGTTAATCACCATAAGTAATGGGGCTTAGTTTTAAAGAAATTACAGTGCATCAAAATTGATATAGATTCTTAATATAATTAGTAGTAAGTCTTCTTGGATATTTTTTTCTTCATACAGCTTCTCTGAAAACTATTATATTTTAATCAGTCTCTCATTATATTACAGAATGGTTTAGAAGGGAAAGGTGGTGGGATTTTTGTTTTTGTTTTGTGGTCAGATTAGCAGCCAAGCATGGATTCAGTAATTTTTAAAACTGTGGTTAAAACTATTACCAGTAATAGCTAGGAAAATAGATACACATTGTTAGAAAGCAGCACTAGGGAACTGAAAGTGCTTTGAGTTTTTATTAAACCTGTAAGATTTATTTGCTGCATCCTTTTTTTTCCTCTTTTGCTTTGGGATCCAGAGGTCATGTAAGATGTCCCAGTCTGATTTTTGCTAATCCTTCCTTTCCATTACAGAGGTTTATGGTTCTGACCCAGCAGAATGATTTTTTAGGGCATGGGAATAAGGAGGTGAGGGCAATGGAAGAGCCTTGCCCCACCCACAAGGCTCTGAATTCTTCCCAATTATAGTTAAAAGTAGAAAATGTTTAAGTCTCCTGAGGTATATATGGTGGAGAAACAATAGTGTCAGAAATACCACACTTGGAATACATATTAAATATTCTTGTGTGGCAAAATATTCCCCAGGTACTCAGGAGTTGAGTAATATGAGAGGGCTTATTAATAAGAGTACTTTATTTCTTTTCATTGAACTATGACCACATAAGTAGTTTGGAATCCTAAAAATTCTGCTGGTGCCTTGCACAGTGACATGGGCCTATATGTTATGTTAATCCCACAAAACAGAGTCTTCACCTCCACTGGTTATTTTAAAAGCATCAGGAATTACATATTGCAAACCTATTTATTCTGTATTATAAAACCACAGTTTCCTATAATCAGGCTAAACTCTTTTTTTTTTTGGTAACAAATGCTAGTTCTGTATAAATCTCAGTTGGGCAGTTTCTTGTTTTACGAGGAGGAGGAGGGGGGAGGGAGGTAATCTAAACATAATGGAAAATTGTAGCCTGCCTTTAGAGTTCTTACTGATAAGTGTTTTTATGTAGGTTTGACTTGAAGGGTTTTTTTCCTGCAGGAAGATGAAGATGAATCAAGTAGACAAGAAATAGATGAAAAGATACATCTGGATCCCAACAGTGAAGACGTTTCAGAAAAAGATGCGAAACAAATAATTGAGTGAGTAATTTGGGAAAGCAGGGAGAGCAAACTATTTTGTACATTCCTCTTTCTGTATCAGATTTCTACATGTTCAAGAAATAAAATGGCAAAGTACTCATCAATGTGAAATTAAAAATGAATCTTTCCTTGCTTTATAGGACAGCCAAACAAGATGTGGATGATGAATACAGCATGCAGTACAGTGCCAGAGGATCTCAATCTTACTATACAGTGGCTCATGCAATTGCGGAGAGAGTGGAAAAGCAGTCCTCTCTTCTTATTAACGGCACACTGAAACATTATCAGGCAAGCATACTAGGTGGAAATTGCTCTTATGGGAATTATTTGCCAGGGATCCTTAAACTATACCATAATTACTCTCCTAAAAGAAAAATGGAATATTTCAGATTTGCCAGATCATTCTGTTTAAATGCATTTTTTAAATTCTTGGATACTATTCTCAAATGTTTTAAAGCATATAATGCATTAAAAAGCATACCTCCCTTTCTCCATTGTCTGGTCCATATTTTGAAGCATACCATATTCTGGTCCTTTCTCCACTGAATTGTGGATAAGTCTCAACTTTGTCTGATAGTAAGGCTTCCTTTATTCATCAAGGTTTTGCTAGGACAGTGTTTGAAAATGCATTGCCTTTGAGAGTTCCCTGGAAAGCAGGTAACAAATTCAGTGCCCATTTTGCTCATAATGATGGCTGTATGAAGTCATATTTCTGGACTGGTTGCATGCCAAAGGTCACTTTATACACTGAGTAGATATATCATGCAAATTTCAGGCCAAGTATTATGCAAAGTAATGTTGTGGACCAAGATCAGCCTTTTCACAGTGCCTCTTTCCTGGATATTCATAATCTTTGATTTGGTGCAAGCATAGAGATGGTTCCCTGTTAGCTCTTCGAGGTAGTCCAGAGAAGAAGCACAACCATAATTACTAACTCTGTCTTTATTGTAAGGTTACATTAACAGAATCTTGTAAGTCTTAAAGTAGTTCTCCCCTTCTTTCCTTTTACTCTCTGGAAAACTAGGGAGGTCCCTTCTGAAATGCTTCCATGCGGAGGCCTCCTCTCCTTCTGTGGGCTGAGAAATCTTTTACATACTTGTCGTCCAGTCTGCGGCTCTTCTTCCTATCTCCCAAGGCCATTCCTGCATACAATTACATTCCTTGAAAAAGGATTTTAATTAGAACTGTGCCTCTGAAAGAAATACCCTTTCCTTGCCTGAATGAATGCTCTTTCCCACCTCTTCTTCGTTTTGACAGCTGGCCCAAATAGTGTTGATGGGACAATCCTGCCATGGTAGAGTAAGACCATTACTGAAGTCACTGCACTGTTTTATCAGTAGGCTTCTGGGCTAATTCAAAAAGGTAGCAAAGATCTATAAAGTCCTATACGGCATGGCACTAAGTTTCATCAGGCACCTCCTTGCCCAGGTTGAATCTGCCCATAAAGAATATTGTGAGAAGGCCTGTTTAGAGTTCCCACTCTATGTAAGGTGTGCAGGACACAGACCAGGTAGCAGGTTTTCTCTGATGCAACCCCTATAGTATTGATTTCTTGCCTTCAGAGATTTGAGCAGCCTCTTCCCTCTTGGCAAAGAGCTGCTAAAACAAACACTCTTCTACAGTGTCTTTCTTTTTTTACTTTTCTTTTACTTAAACGCATGTCACCCAAAGTCTCTGGATTGTGTGGGTTTCAAAAATGAAATGTAAACTGACATTGTACATTGGCACCAGTGGTAGTCATTGTTCAATTAATCACATTCTTTTTACATTTGTTTTTACCTATTACTATTGAAGCGGTTGTTGATAAAGTCAGTGATTAGTATTGATGCAGATTGGCATTTGGGTTGCTTTATCTGCCATAACTGAAATATCAGAACATAGAAAACTGCTTTACCAAGTAAAGTCAGTGCTCCGTTTAGGCTGATATTGTCAAGACTGAGTACAGCTGCTATTGGGATTTCCACGGGCAACATGCTATACAATTGCGTGGTGGTATTCTCTTTATTCCCCACACTGGTGAATGTAATCTACCCCAATTGCTAAGTTGCCCCAACAATATTTTGCTGTGATTTCAGAGATATATGTTAAGGTTAGCACAAACCTTCGGATGCTGGCTTTGTGAACAGCGATCACTGAAAAGGCTGATCAGGAACACATAAGCAATGAGAATATGAAGGAACATGTTTGCATGTTTTCTAGTCCAAAAAAAGATTGTGATGTGCAGTATAATCTGAATTGAATCTAAACAATAGAACAGACTGACAGGATATGTGAAAGGTGTACAACCTGAATCCCCAGGCTCACCTTGACGGAGCCTTCAGAGCCCTTCCAAAAATGGCATTCTTTAATCGGATGGGTCAGAAAAATTATGAAATGGATGAGGTGTGATTACATGTACAGCATTTCAGTCCATTTTCATTAAATTTACAGTAAATGAATCAAATAGACAAGAAATCCTATCTAGTTTTTGCTGTCATCTCATTCTATTATTATTGTTATTTTCTGGGACTTACTTTTTGGAGTGCAGCTTCTAGCACGCTATTCAAATGCCAAGTGCAGCTCTTGGCTTGAGAATTGTTTGGCTCCCCTGGGATACATGAATGGAAAATCAAACTAGTGAAGGGAAGAGGAAGTGAGAGAGAGCATATGTCCCAAAGTCTGACTTTGTATTGGACTAATTGTTATTTTTTTAAACCACTTTATTTAGCTTCAGTGTTTCAGACCTCTTCCACCAGTTAAGAAATGTTAAATTAACTGAGTTTTTATGGTAATATAGCAATATTGAATCAATTCTGTCATTTCTAATTTATTTTCAAATAATATTCAGGACAGTTTCATTGTAATATGTGAGTTGGAGATTAGGAACTGTTCTGTACTGCTCTAAATGCTATCAAGTAGATCTATAGCACCTTGAAAATATAAATTCGAAGCATGTATTGACTATTAAAAGCTTGAACTATGTCACAATATGAGCAGTATTAATCTTTAGCACTCTGCCTAAAACACAAATTGGTTTTCAGAGCAAAGGAATACTAAAGCTTGGGATATATAGCAGCAGTTATTCTTGTATGGGGAATTTTTAATATTTTTTTTTCTCATTGTGCTGCTTGCAGTCAGCACCAAAGCACTCAACACCAAAGCAGAGATATTAAAATGAAAATATGACTGTATGGATAACTGAGACAATTTTACTGTATTTCAGATCCAGGGCCTGGAATGGATGGTTTCCTTGTATAATAACAATTTGAATGGAATTTTAGCTGACGAAATGGGACTAGGAAAGACCATACAGACGATTGCGCTCATCACTTACCTCATGGAGCACAAAAGGCTCAATGGCCCCTATCTCATCATTGTTCCCCTCTCGTAAGTAGATGAATTCTTCCTGATGATATTTTTCTGTACTATGAAGATTGGTTCATTAACAGCATGTACTTTTTTCCTTTACCCTTGATGACTGGATAAAGCACATATTGGGAATATGGTGACTGCATGTTATGGATTTAGTCTTTGATTGCCTTCCCTTCTTGTCATATGGATTTTGTGACACTGGAAACCAGATGGCTTACAGCAGTGTACAACTTACAGTAATTTATCACATGTTCTAGTCACCCTAGCTTGCCCCTATTGTGATTCAAAGACAGAAAATGTATTTCTTACCTGATATTGCCTACATAGTATTTCCTTTCAGATTCCAAAATATTCTTCTTGAGAATTCTCAGATTCTTCTTGAGAGCTGCTAAAATATTTTCGGTCCCACCAGCCACAATTTTTGGATGTGCTGGGACTATAACTCCACAAGTTCCCAGTTAGCTCATGCTCACTGAGAATTCTGGAATTGCAGTGCTACTAATGTGGTGATTGTAGTGATTTTTGTTTTTCTTTGTTAACTAAGCAGTCATCTTTGCAGCTAATCCTATGTTTAGTTAAAATTGGATTTTAAAGAAATAAACTCCATTTTGCCAGTGATTTTAATTAAAGTCAGCTATGCTACTTTAAAGTCAGATATCTGTTTATGCAGATGGGCTACATGTGCTACAATATGTCTGCAGGCTTTATTTTTATAGCCCTTCCCCCATCACAATCAAAAGTATTGGCCCAAATTCTGCATCAGAATAAATAACTGTGAGTGAATCATATTATGGTCTATTGTGGCTGCAGCAGTTATATTACTGAACAGTTAAGCATAAGTTTGGAGTATCCATTGGTGGAGAGAAAGCAGTAGAACAGCAGGATATCTGTCTTTGAAATAAAGAAATAGGAATGTCAGGTGGAAAGAGAACTATAGTTTTTTCTTCCCCAGGCCTGGCTCTATTTTTTTTTTTTTAACCTACACAGTGTGTCCTAATGCATTTCTAAATTTCTGCATTTGTCAGAATCCTCTTAGATCTTTGCACTAAATATGTGCTGATCTTAAGACACATCCATGCACATAGGATACTGCTGCTGGTGTTTGTATATGTGCTCATACCCCCAATTCATCCACTTTGCTTCACTTGTTTATTGGTAAAAGCCTACCTAGGACTAATGTACACATTTTTAGTATTTGCAAGTTGAAGTTTCTGCCTTTTTTTTTTTGCAATAATTTTATTAAATGTTACAATTAAAAAGATAAAAGCTAATACAAACTAAAAAAATGAAAGGAAAAAGAAAAAGTGCAGAAAAGAAAAAAGAAACAATAGAAAGAAAAATGGAAAAGAAAGAAAAAATAAGAATATAATAAAGAAAAAGAAAAATATATAAAGAAG